ATCACTCATACACGAGAATACATGAAGCTCGGGATGTAATGTACGTGACTCGATCTGCAACTTCAGACAGGTACCACTTCAACGCTTTGTCTGGGTGGCTTTCAATCTGGATTATACAGGTTTTCAAGGTAAACTAGATAGATAGTTAGGAATCCTAATCGAAATAGATCCCTTCGGTCCTGACTAAGCATAATAGAAATTCTAACCTAAATAAAGTTAAAGTCCTATTCACCTTATTCTGCTGGTGGTATTTCGACTGATTTTGACTGATTCAATAGTGTTTCTGTAAGAGAGAATAAGCCGAAATAAACACAAGCTAGCTGAAAAGTAGATGACAGGGTGATTGTAACGTGTAGTATGCTCCAATTCTAAAGCCTCATTTGGCACGGCTCATCCAAAACGGCTTCATCGGTGAAGCCAAAGCCGGTGAAGCTAGAAAAATTGGCTTTTCTCGGCTTCTAGTTCATTTTAACCCCGGTTTACAAAACGGCTTCATGCTACAGTGCCTCGATTTGCGCAAAATAGATGAAGTCGAAGCCGGCATAAGCCGTGTCAAAGACGCCCTAAATAAGCCTACAGACGGAGTCTTAGCTATCCATATTTGATCCTTAGAAAAAGACAATTAAATATTCTTGCATGAGGAAACACAAGTTTCATCTCGCAAAAAAAGGAAAAAAGAAGTTTTAGTAATGAAAAGCAATCCGTATAGAATAACAAGTATTCAACCTGTATAAACATCGGACACTACGGAACAAATCATAACTTTAAATAATTGCTTCTCCTCACGAAGACAACAACCTACACCTTGCAAAAAAACTAAAGAAGAAACTCACCATTTTTTAAACAAAAAAATATGGCTACAAGCTGCAACCTACGGCTCTCAGGTTTTTCTCTTGCCACGCTCATACCGTCAACTCCAGATATATTCTGTGACAGACTTTTCTTCAAGCCTGATAATAGACACAATATTAAAAGAAGCTCCCACATTCGCCGATAGCATCTAGAAATTATGAAATAAAAAAATAGCAGATTATACATCGTTGAATTTTATGATAACCTAATAGTCTATATTTAATGATAAAGGAGAGTAACTAAAAAATAATATGTACCATTAGATTTTATGAAGCTCTATAAGGGTCTACATTAAATATATATTAGTTAGAACTAGAATTTTATTAATTAGAAAAAGTTTCAATCGAGATAAGAAAAACACGGCTCTTATATATACCTAATTATTGTATATCTCACCACATGACGTGAAGTTTTTTTTTATCGATAGGAGTTCTAATCCGATTCCACGGTTTGATGAATACAATGCTCTCACACAAAAAATATAATAAATATATCTCTGCAGTCCCTAACAAGGCTGCCATGTAAAAACCGAGAGAAGTCTTTTATCATAATCATCGGTAGAGCGGATTAATCCTTGACGATATCGCATTTTTAATTTGGAAAGAACCAGCTACAGGTTTTTTCTCGGAGAGCACGAAGCATGTGTTGAGTAGTGTACGTGGTGTGCGTGAGTTGTGTTTGATCCCAATATATTTTTAAAGAAACAAAGAGATCAGTCCTTTGACGTGTTGGTAACGAGCTCTCTACTAACTTTAATTAGAGATTATATTCATAGTTTACTGTAAATGCTTGATAGTTTTTTTCTCCCGTTGCAGCGTATGGGCATGTTTGCTAGTAATTATTAAGAGTCAAAACATCGACTTTTCTAGTCTGCGGAGGTAAATTGGACCACAACCATAATCAACGGAGGTTAATATTTTTTCTCGTATATGGATGTTTGACAATTGACATAGGCCTGCTGTTATTAACTGCTGGGCTTATTTTTGTTTGTTGGGCCGTCAGCTATGAATCAAAGGCTCAGAGCTAACCTTCTTAACAGCCCAGTCTACCTCAAGTGGCCCAACACGAAGCCACCTTCGACGGTTCGACCTCTTCCGCACTTCCCCATCCCACCCGCGACGGCCGCCGACGACCGCCCGAGTCCTTCCGCCGTTCCGCGCCGCCTAGGCGTGTCCCGCCACTTGAAGGAGTTCTTCTCCTCCGACTCAGGGCTTCTCTCTCCATCCGAGCTTGGATCGCTGCTCCTTTTCTTGGTAAGCAAGCCGTTGGATGGATCGATTGCCTTGACAGTGAGTTCCGCTCTATAGGATCTATTTCGCTATCCTGAGCACCCAAACTGAGATTCTCCCCTGAGCTGTAGCTGTCCATCCATGATCTAGTTTGTTACGGATTTGTGTGCTGCGGACGTATTAGTGTACCAGTTTATTTTTCGAATTATTTTCGGCGGCTCAATTGACCCCGTCCCCGAGTTAGGTTGGGTATATTCGGCGGCTACAGTTAGATTTTTCTTCTTTTAACTGTTGCTAGTTCTAGTATCTACTATCTGTCTAGAAAAAGCTGGAGCTCTGATGGGCCAGCAATTTTGCCACCCACGGAATCCTCATATCTTATGCCCTATGCCTTGTCCAACTAGCATGAAGGGAACTACTGAAGATGAATTGTAAGGGTAAATTGTGCTCTTCTTTTTAGGTGTAATCTTACCATCAGCAAGAGTCAAAGGTTAACCTATTGAATCCCATGTTTCCCTTCTTACTGAAACCATTCTGAAAAAAAAATCAGGGGTCTATATACTTGTTTCTTACAGTAAGTCTGAAACCATTCTGGTAATTTTGGGGGCTCCTATATTTCTTTCTTCCTGAACAACCATCCTGAGAAATCTGTGTCCCAAAATTAACTATTGACATTTCCCACTTGCATCTAGAATCCCGTATTGAGGTCACGCTAGTTCTTGTGTTTGGGAGGAAGCATCTTTTTATACAAATCATGGTGTGCGTGCGCAGTTCTTGCATTTCAAGTAATGCAGAATGGTGCTAGTAGATGGTAGGCCAATGGATGGCTCTGCTATACAAGTTCTTTCTCTCTTTGCTAGTTGGGTATAGTATTTTCCTTGCTATTTTTATTAGATATTTCTGTGCTCACTTAACTTGAATATGTTGTTCTATTTTTGGGATCTGCTGAACTCATTAAATGTTGACGTTAGTGAACTATCCTTTCCGGTATGTTATTCTTTCATCATTTCCGTGAGAGCACGGAGTATGAAGTCTGTGTTTGCTTATTCATATACCGTTATTGTCATAAAAAGGGTGACAGCTTGGATGTGCATCGCTAACTAATACTGTATTCCTCCTTAAAGTCTTAAACAAAGCTGTCAACTTACTCAGCGAATGGGCAATACTATATTTAATTCTACATGGCCAAATAGAGATTACGAAAAATCAGGGAAATCGTGATATTATGAGATGTGCGTAAGAAAGATTACTCAGTAGTTCATGAGTTAATTCGCCTTGCAACCTGGTGCCGTGGTGTGGCAGCATAGCGCACAGAAGCCATAGAACCCCCCCCCCCCATGTTTGCTTTTATGTAGTGCTTGCTACTTGCTATATTGATTGCTCGGTAATGTTTATGTAGTCTCACAGAAATGTGTTTCTCTATGTCGATATGTTTACCTTTGCAATGTAACATTATATCTTCGTTTTCTCTTTGTTTAGTTCTCGTACTCTTTAATGCTATAGTAACTCTTTTATTGTGTGCCTCAGATGCTATGATGAACTCTGGGCTGGTGCCCTGTGGTTAAAAGATGTCTTTTTCTCTGTGAAGGTCTTGTCATTCGTGATTTCATACTCCAGCTATCTCCATCACAAGGGAAATGGCAAGCAAAGCAGGTGGTGATGGCAAAGAAGCCATAAACGAGCAAGTAATTGCCAACACTTATGCCAACATGCGTACTGAAATGAACCAGCTCTACACCAAGATCACAGAGCTGGAGATGGAGGTCAGTGAGCACTCCCTTGTGATCGGCGCGATCGAGCCACTGGACCCCTCGAGGCGCTGCTACAGGATGATCGGCGGCGTCCTGGTCGAAAGGACCATCAGGGAGGTCCTGCCTGCGGTGAAGCGCAACAAGGAGGGCCTCGAAGAGGTGATTGCTCGCATGCACGGGGCGCTGGAGAGGAAGAAGAAGGAGATCACCGAGTTCGAGCTCAAGTACAAGATCAGGATCCGGAAGGCTGACAATGACGCCGAGGACGAAAGCGGCAAGAAGGAAGGCACTGCGCAGGGAGTCCTTGTTGGTCCTGCCTGACAGTAAAACTTAATTAGAGAGACCTGCATGGTACTACTGCTTTATGGTGCCCAGGCTGCTCTTTGCTAGATGTGTGTGTGTGTGTGTTTTGGGGTGACATGCTTCTGTAGAACCAGCGATTTTGTGTAAAAGATGAGGACCGATGTCAACTGAAATAGTTTCTTCATCTGCTCTTCGGGTGCTATGGCAATCCAAGTTTCTGTTTGTTATTGATGACACATCGCAAATTTCCCAGGACTAGAATTTCTGTCCGGGCTTCTCAAGATAATTGTGGATTAGTCATTTGTATGACTTCATTTCAACTGATGCTGAAATATTGTGGTGCTTGGTGGCGGGTAAATTCCTGTAATTGAGCTGTTTCAATGGCATGCCAGCTTGCTGTTACTTGAGATTTGAGGGGGGAAAAACGGTTACTTTGTTTGAGTTTTCACCGTAAGTTTAGTTTTGCTAGTTGCCTAACTCCAATATGGTAGGAAACAGCTACAGATTTCCTGAGCTTTGACAGTTGTTACTTGGGAACATTTTCTAAACAATTCCTAAATTTGAGAAATGTAATATGATTTGACGGAATCTTGAACATATTCATTTAAATCTACCTTGTTTTGAAATTTGAAACTAGCCCAAAAACTCTTACAATTTATTTATTAGGAGTATATTTTTTTTCCCCTACCATATGATCCGACGGTGGTGATCTAGCGCTCGACCAACCTCGTGCTCCGCCTCAACGGCCTCACTTCACCAGTTTCCCTTCCGCGCAGCGCCGCCGCCGCCGCAATCCCCACGGGCCCCAAAAGGCCAAAACCATACGGCCACCTCGCCATCCCCCAACGAAACCCGACACCACGAGATGGCCCCCGGTGGCGAGGGTAAGCCAAATACGGGCGGCGGCGGCGTCGGCGGTGGCGCCAAGGGTGGTGGGAGGAAGCGCAAGTTCCTTCCCCACGGCAAGCCGGTGCGGAAGGGGGCCTACCCGCTGCGGCCCGGCGTGCAGGGCTTCTTCATCACCTGCGACGGCGGCCGCGAGCGCCAGGCCACCCGCGAGGCGCTCTCCCTCCTTGACTCCGTAAGCTGCCCCCCACTATTCCGCTTCTCCGTGCGTGTCATTGGCCCCCGTGTAGTGTGGCCGTTCCTTGCGATTGCACGCTCGCTAGGTGTTCGTCGAATTTCCCGCGCCTGCCTGGTCTGGTTGAGGGCGGTGTGAGTCGCAGCGGACTCGTCGCTGGTTTCACTGGTGATGAGTTCGTGCTGTCGATTAATCCCATTGCTTATCATCAGGTGTGTGGGCGGAAGCACCATGCCGTGCTCGGTGTTGCTGTGGCAACACATATTGCATGTTTTTCTGTTCACCTTTTCGATTAACTGGCCAAAAGCCTGAAATGTGGAAAGCAGCTAATGATGTAGGTCGTTACCCTTAGCCCCCTGAATTTTAGATTGTGTTTTGGTTGCCATTGGATACCTGGTTGAGGCATTAGTAGGGTTTTATGTGCACAATTCCACAAAGACAGTTATACCTGGTTTATACATGGCCATTATGCCTTGTTATTACAAGTTTTGTTACCATGCTTTCTAATTTGCTTTTGGCTCATTACGCTGTGTACTGCATTGTTGTTTCTGAAGTTCTACGAAGACCTGGTTGATGGGAAAGGATCGGATGAGAAGCCTAAAAACATTCCAGACAAGCCACTGAACAAAAAGATAAAGTTTGAGGACTCTGATTCTTCAGATGATGAGGATGAAGGCCACTCTGGTGAGGAAGCCGACAATGGGATTGGGAATGATGTGGAGAAAGGTGAAACCGCTCCATCTGAGAAGCAACAGGAGGTGCTTGATACCTCTGATACCGCGAGCAAGGACAATACCACTCCATCTGAGAAGCAACAGGAGGTACTTGATACCTCTACCGCGAGCAAGGACAATGAGGAACAAGCAGTCACTGCTGATGAACCTAAAGAAAAGAAGCAACGTGTGGAAGATCCTCCAGTTTCTGAGCAGACCGTGCAAAAAGAAACTGCTGATGAACTAAAGGAGTCCACTGATAAACCAAAAGAGTCTAGTGAAAAAAATATTGATGATTTAATTGACGAGGACCTGAAAGAAATAGGGGACAGGAAAAAGGTATCTTTGCTTTCTGGTGTGGTTACAGCTTAAGATATCTGCTACAGTGCTCCTCTGTTATGGTATAGTGCATATAATTTATACCAAAGAATAAACTGAAGTTTCTAGCATTTTCTCCATAGTTGAGGATTGATTGATCCATTTATCTTTTCTAAATTTTGTTCTTATTAAGCAGGGGCTTCAGCATAGGAACTTAGGGATGCTTTTAAACTACTGTAGACTTGTCCATCCTTTTACTATTATCATACAAATTTATACTGTAGATCCAAGTCCCATAGTGACCCTTAGGATACTGCAATCAAATATTCTCGTGCTTAATAATCTTCTCTAGCTCAGATTCAAAATTTAAATTTAGGTTGTACAGGATAAAATTGTTTCAGGCATGACTTTGGAGGTTGATTATTGTTGTATCTAACAAATCACTTTATAATCTTGTTGCAACATCACTGAGTGTTCATGTATAAGTAGATCAGTACACTTCAGCTTAAACAATTTGTTGTGGGATGAAGATCATGTAGGAAATCTTGACTAATGAAGTGGTGGAAATTGGTATTATATGCACCTTTTTAGCAACTGTTTATTTGAACCTTGAGCTGAGTCATCATCCCAGGTCATATCTGCTTGTGTATTTCATTTGTTCAGTTCTTCTGGAAATCTTTCTAGCAATCCCTTTATTATATTATATGCAAAAACAGCACATATTGACTAAGCTATGTATCTGTTTTTTTTTTGAAAAAAAATCTACTATGGTTTATGGCATTATATGCTAACTTATATGACTTTTTGTATTATGAACAGAGGCTCTTTGCAAGCCTTGAGTCTGGCTGCAATGGATGCATATTCATTCAAATGCATAAAAGAGCAGGAGACCCTGGTCCAGTTGAGATTGTACAAAACATGATGTCATCTGCTGCTTCGACTCGTAAACATATGTCAAGGTTCAGATATGGTGCTATTGCAGCCCATCTTCTCTTGTCACTGTTAATTCTCATTTTTAAAGATGCAGTTTTTCTTTGCTGATACAGATTATTGAGTTGTTTTCACACTTATAAACTCCCCATCTGAATGCATACTAGATTTATTCTGCGAGTTTTGCCTGCTGAGGTGGCATGCTATGCATCCAAAGAGGAAATAACAAAGGCAATTAGTCCCCTTGTTGAAAAATACTTCCCAAAAGAATGCCCTTCAAGCCATAAGGCAAGTTGCCTACCTCTTTGCTTCATCATTTTTCTTATAATCCTTTTGTTAGGGACGAATTGTCTGGTGACCGAGCTGAAAGATTACTGACTGAGTTTTTCCTACAGCACCTCACAGTCAGTGTCTTTGTTACTTTGTTGAAGTCCTAGAATTAATATACGAACACTATTTCAAATGCCATTATCTTTTTAGTCAGAAGTTTTTGGCACTCTACTTGAAAATGATGTCTAATGTTTTTGTTTCATGTCCTACCATTAAATGTTCTGTTCATTGTATTAAAAAGATCATAGGGGTTTATGGGGTAGGCTAAGATGGATTTCGACTTTGAATGATATAGCTTATCCCATGGTAGCCAGGTCTGAAGTTTGTAAGATAATCTGCTGCTTCCTTTGATTGTTTTGCTGCAGGGAGTTGGCACTGGGTCAACTCCTGCCTATCCTTTCCCTCACCCACCTTACTGCTGTAGGTATGGCAATAGGCCACTTGGTCATGGCTTGCCTCAGCCATGTAGAGCAGTTGGAGGCTGAGCCCAGGTACTAGCGTACCTTGTGTAGTTGGTAAATTCCTACCACTACTTGTATATATAGTATATACCCCATATGATGCAATAGAGGGGCAGTTCAGTTGCTGCACTTGTGTGTGCTGTGTTCTGTGCTCAACTCCTTCTACCTCTAGCCAAGTGTTGTGTAAGGGTGATCTGGTTGCTCACCTGTGCAGGGAGGCCGGTTGCCAACAAAGTTTGCAAAAAAAAGACTATTTTACTTTTCTTGGTACTGACTATTAATTTTTGTGGAGGTAGTGTGTTAGATCATATATGTTCATGTTATGAATGGATTAGGTACAGTTTTGATTTTGCAATGACAGTGCTACTCTTAGATAAGTTTCATTTAGTTCAGTGAATCAGTTTATAAGTGTCATGCTCCTTAATGTGAATCACCCTGCAATTATACTTCTGTGTTTTCTCATCCAATGAAGTGCATGAAACATAACCAGACAAACTATAACACCCAAACATATATTCTGAACAAGTATTTTGTTCTCTTTGTTCATTATCTGGAATTGGACATGGTTTCTAACTCGGAACTTTAATCATACAGTTTGCAGTGTTATATGAAGCAAGGTCAAACACAGGAATTGATAGAATGAAAATCATAAATGCAGTAGCGAAATCTGTACCACAACCTCATAAAGTTGACCTGAGCAACCCAGACAAGACTATTGTTGTCCAGATTGCAAAGGTAAATGCTTTTATTTGTAATATATACTTGTTTGGACTGATACATTGTGCCTTTTATTTGTAATATATACTTGCTATGGTGATGTGCATGTGGTAATAGAGGGGAATAATGACTCAACATCTATTAAATAAAGAGAGAACATGTCAAACTCCGCAGTTACTTATTTTACTTCATGTTTCCTAATTAATTTTTGAATTCCAAATATTTGCCTTCATGTCCTTGTATAGCATCCTGAACCATGACTAGGGGCTCTTGGTGGGTTTCAACTCTAGCCTACCCCAACTTGTTTGGGACTGACAGGCTTTATTGTTGTTGTTCTTGTATGTCCTTGTATAGCATAGTTTCTACAGCTCAGGTTTTATTTGAGTTTTGAAATTATTCTCTTGAAATAACTAATTCCATTATATTATTTGGGGTTTACAAACTCCCAAGGTATTTTTCCTGGTGCCCTTGTTTTATCTGTATATGATGGTGACATGATGTTCATATAAATTAGTCAATAATAGCAGGCTAAATGGTTTAGTGATGAGCTTTTCCAGCTGCTATAGCACTGCTTTTCCATTCAGCGGATTATAAAAAGACAAAAGAAAAGAGCATCTCGCTTCCTGGCTGCTGCACACGCACATGACCATACTCCCAGCATCTCCTTTTTCAGTATGGGTCCTTCTAGCTTTTTATATCCTTCCATTTCCCCTTCTCTTCCACCAATCATTCACCCACCGCAAAGTTGCTATCACCTTGCAATTACTCTCCAGTGCAGCAAGCTCTGGCTCGCAATGTGCATTAGTGCTCCTTCAAGAACCGTCCAAAACTGCCGGTAGTGATCATGCACAAGTGTTCCAGCATTGATGTGCGCCCATGTCCTAGAGGTTCCCGCTGTGTGCGACATCCTGTTCTGATTGCTGAGTTTGCACTGCATGGGCAGCACGGAGCCCTTGCGCTGCTGGGCCTGGGTGTGACCGGGCATGTCATGCTCCAGGAGCTGGCGCCGGTGCAGGGCTGCAGGTTCGTATGAGGGGCTTGTCGAGCAGACAGCCAACGATGAGGCAGCGCTTGCCTGCTGCTGGAGGACCAGATTAGCATTGCTAAAATTAACATTGCAGCTAAGCTGATTAGCGCCACAATTGTCTGCAATATCAGTAGTAGCTGCGTATCCTAGTGGCAACCCTCTAGAAACGCTATAGTGGTGCTATAGCCTGCTATTTGAAACCTTGAAATTAATGAGTGAACTGCCCTTTTAGACTTGAGTTCTACAAGGCATGCTAAGCTCCAACCATTTTTCTTCGAATTTAAACATGATTGTCAAGTGCATTCACAGTTAAAGCTCTGGGATCAGCACTATTATGGTTTTGAATTAGTTGCTATGTCACATCTTCATTAGTTGTAGGGGCAACTAATTTTGGTCCCACTTAGATCCCATTTAATGCACCCGCCTTGATCTGATTTAATTGATAGCACAAAAATCTGTTGTGCATGTGGCAACTGCAACTGTGGTATTTACAATGCGTAGTAGACAGGGGAACTCATCCTCTACCTTATCTTCCTTCTCTCCTCATGGTTGCTCCAGAATTGCCACATTAGTATAATGTGTACCATTCTTACTCAAAATGTTGATTTGCATGATGCTCTAGTTTGTCATTTTGAAAATACCAAATGTTGCTCCTGGATCTTCATGCAGGCAGCAATCTGCATTGTCACTTATATAGTGCATTCATAGGTGCCTATGTGGGGACATGCCTGCGGCCTGCCTCTGGCAAGCAAAAAATGATAGCTTCATCACTACAAGCAAATGACCAAATTTTAATACAGATTGACTCACTTTGTATGCTCCTAATTCTCTGAAGTGCATGTGGTACATCATGTTTTTATGTTTTATCCCATTAGTATTTCCTGCTTTCTGTTCTGTGTGTGTCATATCGTCATGTCAGCATGAATTTTCATAAAGCTAAGTTCAGTGCAAGTTCTGATGGGCTATCATTGTTTGACACTTGAGCAGACCATATGCATGATTGGAGTCGTGGAAAGGTACAAAGAGCTCTCAAAGTTCAACCTAAGGCAGCTGACCTCACCGGTGTCGGAGAAGTAGTAGCCTCTGGGTGACAAATCTTCCAGGCTACACGTGGACCAACTTAAATCAGCTGCAGCGACTTCAGGTGGTTAGGCGCTAGTGAATTAAGTTATGACCGGCTGAACCTCACAGTCGGAAAGATTCAGATGTACTACTAATTTGTAATGCTTCATTCATATAGGTCAAGATGTAGAGGCATACGATGATGCGTTTGCTACCACTAGTGGTTAGTGGTTGGTTGCTAGTCGATTCATCTTCATGCTTCCCTGGTTAGAGTTATGAAATTTTTGAGGCTATATAGAAACATAAGACGATCTTCATGCTTCCCTGAACAATTTTATAGCTTGAATAAATTTGTGTGCAAGGTTCTCTAATCTCTTTGCATGGGACCTGGAATTCAAGGAAAATGAGGATCTGTCATTCAGCCAGTTCGTTCGTTGGTTTCAGTTAAGGCTTATCAGCTAGTCAACAGTTTTTTTCTCTCACAACAAACCAGTACCAGTTGGGCTTATCAGTCCAGAAACACCAGCGAACAGGCTCAATTCCCTGTGTGCCATTAAAAAAGATCGTAATGCCCTGTGTGCCTCTGGAAAAGTTCAGTGGTCTTCAACGCCACCACCTCAACTTTTTCGTGTCCTCCGTGCCACTTCCGTCAGCTTGGGCTGTAACGCCGTCAAACTGCAGGTGTGAAAAGATGAAAATACCCTTAAGTCCAAATATGCTATTAATTTTTTTTAGCACCTTAACGACTTCAAATGAAAAAACTCAAAACTAAAAAGTTGTAGATTAGAGGACACGAAAAAGTTAGAGTAGTGACGCTGAAAATCGCTAAACTTTTTCAGAGGCACACCGGACATTGCGATTTTTTTTAATAGAACACGGGGAATTCCTCTTTTCTTTGATCCGAACTTAGGAAGAAGTGTCTGCTATTTCTTTTATCTGTTTGTGACTGAAAAAATGTCAATCCTTTCGGTGGTCTTTTATTCTTGTTTCCTCAAAGAAAGTCAAGGATTGACAGCTCCGACCCGCCAGCTGAAACCAACCACCTGTAGTGTACGTGTACCAGTTCAACGGTGGCTGGGATGGGATTGATGGCCGGCTGACGTTCTGGTCCATGTGGTTATTAATTAGGCAGCCAGCAACGTTGCTTGATGGGTCCATTTGCTTTCAGGGCAGCAGGCTTGATGGGCGTTGCAAAGGTCAGCCGGCACAGCACGCCGAGATTGGTTGGCAAGAGCAGAGCTTGAGAACAAAGGATGGATGAATCTCCTCTATTGAGGCCTGGTTTAGTTCCCAAAAATTTTCACCCTAAACTATCGCATTGAATCTTGTGGCACATACATGGAGTATTAAATATAGACGAAAAAAAATTAATTACATAGTTTGGTTGGAAATCGCGAGACGAATGTTTTAAGATTAATTAGTCCATGATTAGCCATAAGTGCTACAGTACTAACATGCGCTAATGATGTATTAATTATGCTTAATAAATTCGTCTCGTAGTTTTCAGGCGAGCTATGTAATTAGTCTTTTTTATTAGTATCTGAAAACCTCTTCCGACATCTTCGAAATATCTGATATGACATCCAAAAATTTTCATTTCGCGAACTAAACACAGCCTGAGTGTCTTTCTCAAAAAAAAAAAAGAGAGAGAGAGAGAGAGTATGTTTTGATGATCAATACTTAGTGCCACTGTCGACGTGGGCAGGCTGATACGTTGGCAGAGATATATATTGTTTGGTTTGTGGTCGCCAAACATGCCAATTTGTTGCGTTGCCAACAGGGCAAGTAATGGTAGTTTATTTGGACGGGAAACCTATAAATAAAAGTTCGTGAAGAGAGAGAGAAAAAAAAAGAATAAAAACTTGAGTATGGCTCATGGACATGGAGTCAGCATGTCGTAGCCTTTTCTCTTTAATTAAATATAAAATGAAGTTGTCAAGTTGAACTCATACCATCTCGTATTCCTCATGGAGTCAGCTAATAATGAAGTTGAACTACTACTACAGGCCATTGCGGAAGCGCGTATATCTTAGGCCGTGTTTAGTTGCCCAAATTTTAGAAATTGGGCTATTGTAGTATTTTTCGTTTTTATTTGGCAATTAGTGTTCAATCATAGACTAATTAGGCTTAAAACGTTTGTCTCGTAATTTCCAACCAAACTGTATAATTAGTTTTTTTTTGTCTACATTTAATGCTCCTTGCACGTATCGTAAGATTCGATGTAATAGCTACTGTATCATTTTTTGAGAAAAGTTTTTGAACTAAACAAGGCCTTATTATATAGCTAGTTAAGGTTACTTAGAGCCTCTTTGTTAGCTTATACCCCTATTCGTTTCTCTTATAATCTGTTTTTTTCAGTTTATTTTTTCAGTCGAAATAATGTTTTTTCTCTCATAACAAATCAACCGGAATAATATTTCAGCTTGTTTTCTTCAGCGAAGCGAAAGAGGCCAACTCCAGCTTCTCATTTTGTGGCACTGTAGCAATAGCTTCCACGAGCAATGATGCTACAATACATAAATAAACAGTGCGTGCCAATATTCAGAGAAGTCGATCCTACTGTTAACTGTGCCAAAGAGTCTTCCTTGTTAACATGAATACAATACAACGACGTATGTAAAGGGGTGTTTGAATCCAGTGACTAAAATTTAGGAGATGTCACGTAAGGGTGTTGCATGGGGTGTTCGGATACTAATAAAAAAAACAAATTACAGAATCCGTCAGTACTCCACAAGACGAATTTATTAAGCCTAATTAATCCATCCTTAGCATATGTTTACTGTAATACTACATTGTCGAATCATGGACTAATTAGGCTTAAAAGATTCGTCTCGCAAATTAGTCGTAAACTATGTAATTAGTTTCATAATTAGTCTATATTTAATACTCTATGTATGTGTCAAACTTTTGGTGTAATTGACCCATCATCAATTGGTGGGACCGGGAATCCCCGTCATCTCTCTTGATAGTCTTCTAGCGTTTTGATTTCGACGTGAGCTCGCGAGACTAGGCAAAGCATCCCCCACCCACCCAACCCCCAGCGTGAATTGTGCCTCGGGCCTGGTTTAGTTTCAAAAACTTTTTCTAAAAATTGTTATAGTAGCTATCACATCGAATCTTTCGATATGTGTATGAAGCATTAAATGTAGACGAAAAAAACTAATTGCATAGTTTGGTTAGAAATTGCGAGACGAACGTTTTGAGCCTAATTAATTCATGATTGAACACTAATTGCCAAATAAAAATGAAAATATTACAGTAGCCCAATTTCCAAAATTTGACCAAACTAAACGAGGCCTCAATCAGCAAGCAACGAAACCGGGGTGCCATACAAAAACGTAGACATCACGAGTGACGCATATATTATATACTTATATAGCATAATAAAACAAACCAAAGGAAAAGCATGTTTGGTACGTAGGACTTCATTAGGTCGTCTCTGCTGTGGGAACGGAGGAGATAGAGCCAGAGAAAAAGCTCGTGAAGTTGAAATAGTGGATCTATCTATCGACTCTCGATTGATTTTGATTTGAGAGAAAAAGATAAAAATAAAACTCTTTACTTCAACATAGCTACAATGTTCGGAGAAGCCAAAGCTCCGCTAAATAGGACCTAAGTATTATTATTATTATATATATATTGCTGTTTATTTGGTACGGTTGATTTTCTTTGTCATGGTACTTCTAGTTCTGGTTTTCTTTCTAAAGAAATTCTCTCCGCACTATTAGCACTTGCTCTAGGTTTTTACAAAAAGTGAAGCAAAACTAGCCAGGAAGCTAGCCGGGGACAACAATGTTAGGTGTAGGGATAAAAATGACAGAAAACCCCTCTCCTATTTCCGTTTTCATATTTTTTGATCGACGAAAATGGGATCGGATTCGGAATAGCTAGGATCTAAAACGGAATCGGTATGTGGACATTAGAAAACAGAGAAATGCGGACAG